CCCCGACCTGAAGCGGGGCTCTCCCTGCGCCGTGGGGCGCCTGGGACGGCACTGGCACCCCGCCCTCCCAATGCTGCCAGGCGTCCTGGCACAGGTGGTGCTGGGAACCTCCCGAACTGCTGTCCCCGAGGTGTGGGGCTGCTGTGGGGCAATGGTGGCAGCATCCTCTCTTGCAGGCTCCCACGATGAGCGGCCAGCTCCTGTTCCTGGCTGTGCTTCCCCTGCTCCTGGGTCCCCTGCCTGCCATGGCACAGAAGAGGAACCAAGGTGGGTGCTGAGCACTGGGTTGATGATGAGAGAGGTGGGATGATGAGAAAGGGCCAGCACCACCATGCCATTTTGCTGCTCCATGCCCTGAGCACTGTCACTGCCCCACAGCCGTGTGCGAGGATGTGCTGGAGGCTGACATCGCCTTCCTGGTGGATGGCTCATCCAGCATCGGCAGGAACAACTTCCGCACTGTCCGCACCTTCATGGATGACCTGGTGGGGCCCTTTGTGCAGGTGGTGGGTGAGAAGGCAGTGCGCTTTGCCGTGGCACAGTACAGTGACGACCCACGGTGAGCCCCGGGGAGGGGGCATGTGGGGCAGCAGGGTGGAAGGGCTGGGAGGTGACACTGTCCCTCTGCACCCCCCCAGGGTGGAGTTCACCTTCTCCCAGCACACTGATGGCACAAGTGTCCGGAGGGCCATCCAGCAGCTGAGCTACAAGGGCGGCAACACGCGGACTGGTGCTGGCTTTCGCTACGTTGCTGACAACTTCTTTGGCCCCGCACAGCTCCGGCCCGGGGTCCCCCAGGTACGTGCAAGGTTCTGGCAACATGGGAAGAAGTACTGGGTCCATGGGCCCGATGCTGGGTCTCACATCTCTTGCCCGGCCTCCACAGATCTGCATCCTCATCACAGATGGCAAGTCCCAGGATGATGCCGAGGGGCCGGCAGCAAAGCTGAAGAGCCAGGGGATCAAGATCTTTGCCGTGGGTGAGCGAGGCTTCAGCTCCACGTGAGGGGGTCTCCTGCTTGATTCGGGTCCCTCCCTCACCCATCATCTCTATCCCTCCCAGGGGTTAAGAACGCTGACCACAAGGAGCTAATTCGTGTGGCCTCAACACCTACCGAGGCCTTCTTCTTCTACGTTGGTGACTTCAAGCTGCTGAACACGCTGGTGCCACTGATGACACGCAGGGTGTGCACGAGTGTCGGGGGCACTCTGCGTCTGTTGGGTATGGGCCCCCATCCTCCTCCCTGACAGGAACCAGGCTGCACTCACCATGGGTGCACTCTTAGCACCCATCCCTACCCAAAATGCCCTCCTGGCCCTCCCATCCCAACAGACACGTCTGTGCTGCCCCAACAAGGTCTCCCCTCTGCCTCATGCACCCTGGAACTGACAACCCTTGCTTCCCCACAGATGGGCAAACCCACACTGGCCCCTCCAACCTGGAGATCCTGGAGCGGGGCTTTGACCAGCTGCGGATCCGCTGGACGGCAGCCAGCGGTCCCGTCACTGGCTACCGGGTGCAACACGTGCCACTGACAGGGCTGGGACAGCCGATCATGGCAGAGAGGCAGGAGGTGAGCGCTCCTACCTGGCTGCTCAGAGTTCCTGGGGGTCCCTGGTGGCTCTACATGTGACCTAGGAATGGCAAAGGGGTGACACTCTTCCTGCCCAGGTGAGTCTGGGGCCACGGGAGACGAGCACTGTGCTGCGGGGACTGCGCGTGGGGACGGAGTACCTGGTCACTGTCACCGCCCAGTATGCCAACAGCATCGGCGAGTCAGTGTCCAGCCGAGCACGGACCCGTGAGTGTCCATACACTTGGGGACAGGGGTGAACACAGGCACTGGGTGCCCACAGCACATGAGGCTGGGAGCTCATCCCTGCTCCTGTTTGCCCCCAGAAAGCCGTGCTGGCTCCATGCTGGATTTTCGCGTGGTGGAGACTGGACCAACCTTCCTGCGGCTGGCCTGGCAGCCTGGCCCTGAGCTCCCCCAGGGCTACAGCCTCAGCTA